GGGTACTTCTCGCATACTGATTCTCGAGTTTTATGAATTTGGACATATTACTCGGCTCACATACTGATTTTAGCATACAGTAGAGTATAGAAGTATGCGGTGTATAAGTATGCTTGGTGACGCAAGATGGTGGTGCCAAGAAGGTAAAGCTTTTACCTAATGTGTATGTGTGTGTTGTGATATCGCGGTGACAGCTTGTTTCTTTTTTTTATTTTGTCTCTCTTAGGGAGCTCCTGGGTCATGACTTCACTGAAACTCACTATGAGAATGGCCTCCCCATCACCCAATCCAGCCATCACACTGTAAGCAACGCTGAGACCTGTGTTTTATGTGTGTGTGTGTGTGTGTGTGTGTGTGTGTGCGTGCGTGCGTGTGTGTGTGTGTGTGTGTGTGTGTGTGCGTGCGTGTGTGTGTGTGTGTGTGTGTGTGTGTGTGTGTGTGTGTGTGTATATCACTTGTTTGTGTGTGTGTCTGTGTGTGTGTGATGGATGAGATGATTGACAGCCGATATCATCTGTGTCGGCACTTTAATTAAAATGTCTGAATCAGATAATCTCCTCCACGACTTTAATTAATGATTTCTGTGAAAGGCAATAAAAGATCTCCTGATGGTGATGATATCAAACACACACACACACACACACACACACACACACACACACACACACACACACAGAGATCTCCAGAGAGATGTGGGTTCTCTGTGAGCTGTGATGTCACCTCCTGACCTGTGCCCCGCTGCAGGTACTCGTTCCAGGATGAGGAGGACATGTTCATGGTTGTGGATCTGCTGCTGGGTGGAGATCTGCGCTATCACCTGCAGCAGAGCGTGCAGTTCGGGGAGGACGCGGTGAAGCTGTACCTGTGTGAGATGACGCTGGCGCTCGACTACCTGCAGAGCCAACACATCATACACCGGTCAGCAAACGCTCATCATCACAGCCCAACGCCACACTAACACACTGCCCATCTGTAGGTGTGCGCTTCTGTTTGACTTTAGGTGTTGTACATCAAACATACTCAAGGGGGCATTAATCTCTAGTGCTGAAAGTCAGCATCAAATCAAAATGTGCTCTTATTTTGATATGGATATAGTTGGATTTGTTATAGATGATGTGTCTGTGCAGTTCATTATTATTATTAAACATTAATATGCCCTGATAATCCATCAAATACCATAACCTGACCTGCGCTTTAGAGCAGAGCTATCAGTCCTTTTGAACAAGACTATCAGTCCATTAGGGCGTGGCTATAAGCACTGTGGGGCGGGGCTATCATCAAATTAGGGTGGGGCTCAGTGGCGGGGGCCCACGGACACCCAGTGGGGGGAGGGGGTGGTTACGGGCCAAGGGATCGGCGGGGCCCCCTTATGGGCTGTCCGCCACGCCACTGATTACTCTACAATGCCAAATGATTATTTAAATGATGTGCACGCTTTCGGTTTCATTTTCACTGCTAAGTGCGCCCCCCTCATGGTGTGTATCCTGCGGGCCCGTCTGCTATGCCACTGGCGGGACTATCAGTCCTTTTGCACAAGGATATCACTCCTTTAGGGCAGAGCTATCAGCCATTTAGGGTGGGGCTATCACTCCTTTAGGGCAAAGCTATCACTTCTTTTGAGCAGAGCTTTCAGTTCTTTAGGGTTGAGCTATCAGTCCTTTAGGGCGGGGCCATCAGTCCCTTAGGGCAGGGCTATCAATCCTTTAGGGTGGAGCCATCAGTCCTTTAGGGCGGGGCCATCAGTCCCTTAGGGCAGGGCTATCAATCCTTTAGGGTGGAGCCATCAGTCCTTTAGGGCGGGGCTATCAGTCCTTTAGGGCAGGGCTATCAGTTCTTTAGGGTGGAGCTATCAGTCCTTTAGGGCAGGGCTATCAGTTCTTTAGGATGGAGCTATCAGTCCTTTAGGGCAGGGCTATCAGTCCTTTAGGGTGGAGCTATCAGTCCTTTAGGGCAGGGCTATCAGTCCTTTAGGGTGGAGCTATCAGTCCTTTAGGGCAGGGCTATCAGTCCTTTAGGGTGGAGCTATCAGTCCTTTAGGGCAGAGCTATCAGTCCTTTAGGGTGGAGCTATCAGTCCTTTAGGGCAGAGCTATCAGTCCTTTAGGGTGGAGCTATCAGTCCTTTAGGGAAGGGCTATCAGTGTTTTGGGGCGGGGCTATAAGTCTTTTAGGGACAGGCTATCAGTCATTTAGGGCGGGGCTATCAGTTCTTTAGGGCGGGGCTATAAGTCATTTAGGGCGGGGCTATCAGTCCTTTAGGTCCGGGCTATCAGCCATTTAGGGTGGAGCTATCAGAGTCTTGTTTCTGCTCTGCTTTTGTAAGTGGCAGTGGTTTGAATGAATATAATACAATCTGTACAATTTAACTCCTCATTATTGTCATAATCAGGCATCTGAGTGCAACCAAACTAGCATTCAAATATTCCTCCATTTTGTTAGCAAGGCCCTTCTTCCAACAATCCAATCGGTTCCAGAGGGCAAAATCATGCACCGCCCTAATTTTAGTCTCATCAAATGTAGATCACAATAGGGGGAAAAAAAGGACATTCGTCTGTTACATGTTGACTTTAAAGTCTGATGAATTTTTTATTTCAGTATTATATTTATTTCAGAAGTATAAAATATTTCAGTATGAATATTGAGTAGGGGTGGGATAGCCTCGTAGCAAATTAACAGTAAGAGGGGCGTGGCTAGGAATATTGTGGATGAAGCATCACACTGATGTCATCAGAGAAGGAGCCACTCAAACTTTGGTTGAAAATGATCAAAACACACTCCACATTATTTCAGTCGATTAACAAGCATGGATTAATTGTTCACTTAAAGAATAATGATGTGCACTAGCAAAATAAACCCTGTACATTTAGATTTCATGCAGACTTTAAGACTCATTTCAGATTAAAAATATTGAAGAGTCTATCATGTGCTCATTTAGTAAGAACAGTTTATCAGTGTGTGTGTGTGTGTGTGTGTGTGTGTGTGTGTGTGTGTGTGTGTGTGTGTGTGTGTGTGTGTGTGTAACCTCAGCTCACAGGGATTTGTTGTGTAATTGCGTGTTTAGTTCTGTGAGGCCCTTCAGGGAGATGAGGAGCCTGTGCCAAATAAAATGTGTCGTTGTCTTATTTTGGGTTCGTCACAAACGCTCTAGAATAGAACTGACAGAGAATGCAGTGGACTGAGTCTCTCGCTGGCACTGATATCTGTGTGTGTGTGTGTGTTATTCAAGCTGTACTCAGTCACATTGTTTTTCCTGTGGTGGATTTAGCTGTAGTCTTTCAGAAGAAGCGCTTTCTGTCTGTAGAATTATTTAGTTGCGCTAAGTTGGGCAGAAGTGTTTCCTAGCAACAGTGTGCCATGTCACGCAGCCACCGAGGTAAAATTAGTCCAAGTAGAGGATTCCTAAAAGAAGAAGAGCAGCGGCACATGACTGAGGATATCTGGAAGCATCAGACGAGTCCTCATCACAGTCTGACACACCAGTGATGCTCAGATCTGATGTCCTGCTGTGTTTCTGCTTCAGATCTCAAGCATTCCTCAAGACGTGTGTCTTTAGAGATGGGCTGTTGTGCTGCCACCATCAACAGCCTACATACACCCTAGCAATGACCCAGAACATTTTAGAAAAATCCAAAGAAGTTACCCTAAACCCAATAGAAACACCCTAGCAATGATCCAGAACACCCTGGAAACACCCTGACAACAACTCAGAACACCCTAGAAACACCCAGCAACACTGTAATAAATCCGTTAAATTTAAGCTAAAAAAACGGCAGCTGTGGTTGCCAGTACTTTACCGTTAAAAACAGAGTACAAACCATAAAAGTGATTTTTAATTTTTACGGTAAATTACGGTATTTTAATAATTTATCGAGGTAATATGTCTGTGTTTTGAATGATCAACATCTACACATCTTTTGTTACACAGTTAGACATGTTAGCACACCCACATGCAGTTGGTGATGAGGAAGTTACATAATGAACCAATGCTCATCACAATCAACTTTCCCCATAAGCAGAAAAGAGTATCAGCATATAAAAGGTGCTCAGTGTCATTCACACAGATACTAAACAGCAGTATGGTAACACGCATAAAATTAGTCATGAAATAAATGTCGTTTATTAACATTAGATGCAACATAAATCTCTAATGTACATAACTGATGGGGAAACAACTAAAAAGATCCATAGTAATGTCAACTAAATGCATACAAAGTTATGTGCCATGCAGGGAATTCTGGGAAAGTCAGTTTACGGTTATTCGCCGTATATATTAAGGAAACACACCGTTAACCAGATTACGGATTTGTACTGTAGCATTTTTAAAGTTTTTTATCATTGAAATCACGGCCATTTTTTACAGTGCAATGACAGAGAACTCCCTAGAATTAACCAGGAAACACTCTAGAAAAGACACAGAACACACTAGAAACACCAACTCTGACACAGAACACCCAAACAACAACACAGAATACCATAGAAAGTCCTAGGATTGAGCCAGAACACAATGGAAACACCCTAACAACATCCCAGAACACCATGAAACACCATAGGTCTGACCCAGAACACCATAGAAACACTCACGAAACACCCTGCCGAAGACACAGAACTCCTTATAAAGAACCTGAAAACTGTCTAGAGAAGACACATAATACACTAGATACACCCAATCTATGACCCAGGCCACCCTGAAAACACCCTAACAATGAACAAGGACACAACTAAACAACCTAGCAATGATCCAGAACACAGTGGAAACACCCTAACAACGAACAAGTACACAACTAAACAACCTAGCAATGATCCAGAACACAGTGGAAACACCATAACAACCACTCAGAGCACACTTGAAAGACCCTAGTAACACCCTGCCAATGACCCAGAGCTTCCTTGAAAGAACCTGGAAACACCATAGAGAAGACACATAACTCACTATAAATGTCCTCACAGCAACCCAGAACACCAAAGAAACACTCTAGAAACACACTGCCAATGACCCAGAACTCCCTGGAAACACTATATGCAGAACACACAGGAAACACCAACCT